CCCGTCAGCCTGTCATCATCTCCGGAGGCGTTAGTCCTACCAAGAGGCTTCTTACAAGCTTTTTGTCAATTCAGTAAAAAGAAAAAGAAAAAAAAGTGATTTTACGAACTTTCTTGAACCGGATCAATATCTGCGGAATTTACACAGTTGTTTATCATGAGACGATGACACGGGCGAGAGCTAAAGAGAAAAGAATAAATTCAGATTACTGATGTAATTCTGTGTTTATATATTTTAAATTAGCGATGGAAATCTGCTTATATATATTTATTTAGCATTACATGTATGCATCCACAATCTATCTATTTAACAATCCTTTAACAAGCCCATCTATCAGTCTATATGTATTCATGATGAAGCGAATGAAAGTGTTACGCATTCGCGAATGGGAAAGTGAGAGCGATTTTTTTTTCTACATTAGTGAATGCCAATGTCTATATCGACTATTCCATTCCAAGCCGTATTCCATAGTTCAAGTACCGATATTATGAGTATTTGGGTTCTGCATTTATCGGCATTTGATTTTTATTTTCTCCGCTGAGGCAATTTTGAATGTACTGAAAAAAGTTAGACTATAGATACCTAAAATACGTGGAAAATGACCGTTAGCCCGCGAGGGGTTGGAGAGACAGGGTTGCCGCTTCCCTTAATCATCATCTCTTGCTCTCCTCTTGTGCAAATCTTACTCATTTCCTTGTTTTTATTATTAGTTGAGGAAAATATGCGCATGTGTAAAAAAAAAAAAAATATTGGAAGAGCGAAAATTATTACTAAAGACCATAGCGAATATTCGTTGCTGCGAATGCGCAAACAGTATATTCGGTCAATGTATAGCATGTAGGGGTATTCATCTATTTTTCGAACTATTTATAACTGAAGATATATTTAACGACAGATGAATGTAAATATATGATATGAATAAACAAGTAAAATATATGAATAGAAAAAGTAACGGCAGACGGCACAGACAGACAGACAGACAGTTGTAGATAATGTATATCTTTACTCATCCTTTTATAAATAAATAGAGAAAGAAGAAACAAGGTCAGATTCTTTTGTCCGAGCACAATCAATGCTTCCCAAACATCTCATTAATTCTCGTTGAATATTTGCTTTCATCTGATTCATTACCTGTTAACGATGTCCATTTAGCCTTTAGATACACGAAGACAAGCTCCAGCTATTGCTTTTTTGGCAATTGATTGCTTGCGAATATGCAACATATTTACCAAGGTAGTTTTTGGCGCTGTTGTTGCTTACGAGTTTTCTTTGCGAATGTTTGCGAACCTTTGTTAAGAAATGTGCATATGCATTGTTTATTTCGATTCTTGCAATAAGATTTGCATAACTGTTTCAGGGTTAAAGTATGCTGGTTATGTTCGTTGCAGTGTAGGTCACGCCTTTCTTGCAATAAGTTTCAGTTTAAATGTATGCGTTTTGGGGGTATTACAAGAGGAAAGTCTAATGTTTAGTAGGACTGGTATTTTTGAAATTCAGATCGTGTGAGTAAAAAAGTTTTTTTTTGTGCATTATCATGATCTTTTTATATTATCTTTATCATTACTATATTTGTTATTGTTAATGTTATTGTTATTATTGTAATTTTTCAAAATTTCGTTAGCATTTTCATTATATTATTATTCCCGTGTTATCTATATTGTTGTTGTTGTATCACCATTGTTATCATTATTATCATCATTACCACTATAGTGTTAAAATTGTGTTATTTTATTTTTTATGCAGTACATTTGTCTTTTGTTTTTGTTTTTTTCATTGATGTATTTATTCACTTCAGCATTACTTTAATATCTTATATTCATTAAATTAATCGTTCGAGGTATTGATACGTGTACTCTAAGAATCGCCTGTTCCCGGTATTTGAGGTTTTCACAGATAAAAATAATGGTGTGTTTATGCCATCATTAATTTCTCATTTTTTGTAACACATAATTATCAGTAGCTGAGTACAGGCAATGCTTGCTCATTATACGTTTTAAGTGTTAGGTGACGATGTTATATTTTTTTACTGTTACTAATAATATCTTCTCTTTACTGAAGAGGGCAGGCTTGGGTGTGTCTGTTTTATCTTGTTTTATTATTAATATTGTAGTAAATATTTTGTTTATACAATAATTGAGTTTTTATTATTATTATTTATTATTATTATTATTATTATTATGTGTGTGTGTGTGTGTGTATTTGTTTGTGCTTATGCATGGCAAACACTATACATTAAATACGCCATGCAAAGCGGGAGACTATATATATATATATATAGCTCAAATGTCTACAACCCCAACAATGTGTGAATGAACTCGGTACAACAATGTACTCAGCCAAGTGTATCGGTAATATGAAAGCCTTTGGCTTCGGGGAAGTGTACATGTCAAAATTGCGTACGCCTTCCTCTTTTCGCCTAGTCAGCTGAGAAGTGCTTTAGGTAATGCGAATGGGTGATGATGTGGAACAAACAAAATAAAGTATTTAGCGCTCGCTGAAAAGTGCCGGGTTCATTACGTCGATGAAGATGTGAGTTAACACGCGAGGAGTACCTTTGGGAAATAGCGTGTGGGAGTGTGAAGAGTGAGAGACTGAAAGGGAGGGAGGGGGGGGGGGTGAAGGAGAGTGATTGTGTAAGCGAGCGGGGGCGTGAGAAAGAAAGGGAATTGTAGTAAGAGTAGGAGAGGAAGTGGGAAATGCAGATGGAGAGGGACTGGGAAAAGGAGTTGGCCAAGATCAGGATAGATAGAGAAGATAGAGAGGGGGAGAAAAAGGGAGAGAGAAAGAGAAATAAAAAAAACAATGAGATGTAGAGAAAAAGAATACGAAACGCACATAGAGAGAGAGAGAGAGAGAGAGAAGGGAGGGGGTGGGAGAGAGAGAGACAGTGCTAAGACATGAAAGCTATATTGCAAGTAAAGGGAAGACTTCGGCGGTATTTAATCAAGATATTATCTTCAGAAAATGTCCACTCCCTCCTGATATTAACAGCTCGAGAAGTGCATCATGAAGTATCCTCATAATCACAATTTAACACCCATGTATGTATAGATCGTGTGTGTATTTGTGGACGTGTGTGTGCATAATTAGCTGTTATGGCTCAGTGTAGAAAGCGTAAAATTGCTCACATTCTGCTCGTGCGATTTGCGAATTCAACTGTGAGTGCATACCAGGCCAGATTGTGTTCTGGGTATTACTGATTATCATTGTTATTGCCATTGTCGATTACTATTATTGGGTTTTTATTTGTTTTACTTTAGCGATGATTTAAAAGATGCTATATTTTTTATTAGATTTCTAGTTTATTAGATTTACAGGGAAGAAAAATCTGATACAAACTTGCATTGTCATAATAGGATATTAAGATTCATTTTCGGTTTAAACCAAGTCTTATTTTATATTGTGTGTGAAAAAGATAATTGAAACTGCACAATACACGCTGTATGAGATCATGCTAATTTCAAATGTCAACCTGCTTTTTTATACAGTGATGTGTAATAAGGGTTTTAATAATACCACCTTGTTTATTTTGTGTTAATTAATCATCAATTATGTTTTCTAGATATCATCACATTAACATTTGTTATAAGTGTGTGTTTATTTTATTAAAGTTATTCATATATCAACTGAAATAGTTTTTTTTTCATTATCGTCATACATCTTAATACTCTTTGCCACAGCTGTTCATATTCGTTTTGATATAATTAAAAGTTTTGCTTTAAGTACCATTATATATAGTATCTTAATGCCAACATATCTGCTTTTATTCATGTTATGCCTAAGCTTTTTCGATATTTATGGCCTAACACCAGCCAAAGTCGACATACGAAATGTGGGTTGCGGCCGTAGACTTTCCCCCTCCCAACAAGTGAATGTAGTGACAGGCGAAGGGGATGGAACATATTATAGGTTCTTCTGGCACTAATGTGTATCATATGGAAACGCCAAGAGGGTTCGTTGACGTTAATTAAACTTCATTATATATACTATAATTAGACGGTCGCTTTTCAAACGATTATTAATGATTCTACTACTGCATTGCTTTATTCGAGATCTACGATTTTTTCAAACTTCCCATCAGTACAAGGAATTCGTTAGTACGACAAAAATACCCTTAATTGTGTTGATAAAAAACACTCGCATAAAAAAAAGAAAACGTCATAGGCAAGCGAAAGGAAACAGCACAATAAAGAAGGCAACTTAAGTAAATCCGATTAGCGTTAATTGATTGGTTAAAGTAAGTTTATTCATAAGTGTTACCCTTGTTAATGTTTGTGTACAATGTAAGACCTACACTTTTTAGCAACTCTTATCTAAACCCCGACATAGCATGGAAATCACACTGTAGAAAATATGGTAAGATTATGAAAGGGATAAGCAGTTTACCCTCTACACGACGCGGAAGAAATACTGACGAAATGTCTGGCAGACTTAGTACTGCATTTTTCAAGATCTTCCAATTAAAAAAATCACTTATTTTTCAAACTTTGTCGCTGGACTGCCTGTGCCAGCTCAGAATGCGTATGTGTGTGTGTGTGTGTGTTGTGTGTGTGTGTGTGTGTGTGTGTGTGTGTGTGTGTGTGTGTGTGTGTGTGTGTGTGTGTGTGTGTGTGTGTGTGTGTGCGCGCGCGCGCTCGCGCATATATGATGATTATGATTACTTAAGATTTAATGTCTTACAAGTAATTTCACTGTAGAATTGAAGGAAAAATAGTACTGTTACTAATGGCATAAGTCATGTTAGAATAAAAATATTAAGAGCTGCTGTGACGTTAACATTAGTATTGGTATTTTCAAAAGGAACATTTTTAATCGCGACTAATAATACTTTCACGACTTGTAATAATAATAAAGAAATAATAAACGCAACAACAGTGTCAATCTGTACTAAAAACTGCTGTGGTGTATCGTGCTTCGGGAAGGGGACGAGCGGCCAAGTTCAGGTAGTGAGAGATGGCGGGAGTGAAGCCAGCTCGTCAGTGTGCCTGCGGACGCAGACGAGGTCGGACGTGGTAGTTATCGTCCTCGCTCGCCCAACACGCTCGCTCACGCCGCCGTCGGACTGTGTAGAGTGAGGGAGGGCTTGAGGGCCACGGCAAGTGTGGGGGCATGGCAGGATGTGGCCCGCGGCGGGGATAGGGTGAAGGCCTCGTAAGTGTGAATGCCCATTTTGGCGTGGATTCGTTATGTAAAGTTTGTGCATTGTTTCTCTTTTTTTGTGTCTGTCTGTACTCCCACCCCGAATAGATGAGTTAAGAAAGTAAAAAGGGAAATGAAGCTGCCTTATCACCCAACAATATGGAAATATGGCGTTGTATTTCTTGGAGAATAAGACGAGACAGAGAAAAAAAATGAACACAGATATCACCCTTCCAAGTCTCTCGTAAGAAGCAATCATCTCACAAGTGACCGAAGCTGATCACTCCTAATGGATTGTCCCCCTTCACCCCCCTCTCTTTCTTATTTACCTTTTTTCCTGTCTTTGTGTACCCCCCTTCCCCCTCCTTCCTCCCTCTCCCATCCCTGCTTCCGCTCTCAAAAGGGACTTATTGTCATCCTTCTTTGAGATATTATTGCGGACTGAAGAAAAAGTCCGGTAAGGTCGGATGAACAGGTATTGTGCGTGCTAATTATGCTCATCGATTCGGCATCTCTCGTTGCTGTTTAACGGATTTTGAAATTTGAAAAAAAGAAAAACGGGAAGGGAAGGACGAAGGGCAAATCGCTGAATTAAAGACGCGTTTGTGTTGTTTCTCGGAATTTGTCGGGCTCGAAAAAAATGGACGAAGCTTGGAGAGTGAGTGCTTAAGTGCGAGTGACGGAAAATGAGCGGACGTTAATGACTGAGAGTCAGAGGGTAGTGAGGAGAGAGAGAGAGAGAGAGAGAGAGAGAAGAGAGAGAGAGAGAGAGAGAGAGAGAGAGAGAGAGAGAAGAGAGAGAGAGAGAGAGGAGAGAATGAGTGAATGTGTGTGTGTGAGAGAGAGAGAGAGAGGAAGGGAGGGAGTGCCAAAGAGGAGAGAGTGAGTGAATACGAATGACAGAGAGAGAAAGAGAGAAGAAAATGAAAATAATAAAGAAAGAAAAGACGAGAGAAAATTCGAGATCTTTCCCAGTCGCGTGGTAGATTAGGTCAGTCACCACGGGAAGAGGGGAGACGAAGGGGGGGGGTGGGGGGGGACAAGGAAACTCGCAATCCCAGACATAGGCAGACACAGACGGAGCCGTGGCTTGGCTATGATTAATTCCTCCAAGATATTCGATATAATCTTTATCTTGCGGGTCGGTTGTCTCCTATCTCATTACTTTCCGTTTTTTTGTGTTTTTTTTTTTATTTTATTTTTTTTGTATGTGCATGCGTATGTACGTGCATGTACGTGTATTTGTATACAAGTGTAGTTGGAGATACATGCGTGTATTAGTAAACATGTGCTGATAGATATAATTTTTTTATGATTGATTGACATGATTTACATTAATTTTTGTGTATTTCCTTCTCGAGGATGCTGGCAAATCTTTGACATATAAATGGAAAAAATCATGGAACAAATAGAGGTAGTAAACGTAAGACAGAGAGAACGAAATGCTACATCAGGGGAAAAGATCAGAGGAAATGAAGAGAAGGGGGGGAAAAAGTAGAAAAAGAGGGTATAGGAGATCGTGAAGACGAGAGAATTGGGAGAGAGACGATGGAAAGAAAGAATTGGATCTCAAGAAAAATATGGAAACTATTTATTTATAAATGCTTTTGGATAAAATGTTGGAGAGACAGAGTTTCGAACACACACAGACACCGTTAGACTTCTCGATATTGTGTGTGTGCGTGCGTAGGTGCGTGCCAAGTTATAATCCAGGGATCCGTCATTATTATTACTATTATCATTATTTGCGATAACGGTGTTCTTTGGTTACACTCATATGTGAAATTGTAATGTATGTTGTTGCTGACTACGATTCCGAAGTTTATGTAAATGATATTAAAATTGGAATCATTTAAATTTAAATTTTTTTTTTTTTCTTTATAGTTAACACCCCTTTCTCTGTCTCAATGCTTTCCACTCTCTCTCTTCTTCCTACTCTGTCTGCCTGTCAACTTAACATTTATAGATATTTAATACTGATATTTATATGCAATTATAGTTTGTGTTGTTACTGACTTGATGGCGACGTCTGTGTTGATATTTAAATTGGGATAATTATTTTTTCAATCGCATTTTGTTTCCTTTGAAGGTGGATTTTCTCTCTTTCTGCCTGTGCTCTCTCTCTCTCTCTCTCTCTCTCTCTCTCTCTCTCTCTCTCTCTCTCTCTCTCTCTCTCTCTCTCTCTCTCTCTCTCTCTCTCTCTCTCTCTCTCTCTCTCTCTCTCTCTCTCTCTCTCTCAAACCCCACAACTTATCATTTAGATATATATTCCCTTTTAACTTTCCAACCCAATTTTGCTTCCGACTGAAATTTTTGTCTTTCTCCTTTCAGATCTCATGCATATAACGTGGGGTGCCGAAATGACATCACAATGAGCTGTTTCGGTACACCCACTGGGCGGCCGTGCGTGCGTGTACAGGCCCGGGACAAAACTCGTGATTGGTGAAGAAGTGAATAAAAAATAGAAAATTATAAAAAAAAAGAGATAGAGAGATAACGAAGAAAAAGTGAAATTTGTTTGTTGATGCTGAGTGTGTGATGTTTGACTTTTGATATATGTGGGTGATTTGTGGAGAAAAGTGCTAAATTAATAAATAATTATTCGTGTGAATATAATTTAGTGGTGTAGTTCCCCCATCCAAAGATCCACCGATAACAAACTTAAATAAATAAAGGAAAAAAAATCAGTGAAAAAATAAATCAAATTTGATTGAAGTAAAAATCATTATAAAAAATAATAATTTTCAAAATCATAAAGCCTAACACCTTGAAAAGAACGTCCCGTGAAGTAATTAAATCGGAAGAGAGTAAATTCAAAGCATATTACGAGCGTCCATCTTCATCGGCAACATGGAGGCCCATCGGAAGATCCTGCTGCTCGTCCTCTGCTTATTAGGTAAGTTGCGTGCGTTCGTGTGTTCATTTTGGATTGTTAAACGGTGTTCATCTTTAATGTGATCATTTGTGTTCTCTTTTAATGTTCATGTATTCATTTTAGGTTGTTGACTGTTGAGACTTTATATTTTTATTTTATATATTATATAATCGTGTTATCTTTTTATGTTCGTGAGTTGGTTTGTGCTATGTGAGGTTTGTGATTTTTGTTTATAGTCATTGATGTTATCTTTTAATTGTTCGTGTATCCGTTTTATGCTTCAAACTCTTCTTTTGTCCCTTTTATATTCGTGTGTTCGGTTTTGTTGCGAGAGGGTACATTTTTTTCATCGTTTATGGCCGTGTATTCGTTTTCGGTTGCGAAAGGGTACGTTAAAAAGCCTCTTAATGTGTTCTTTTCATGCTGTGAGATCGTGCGGATTTTTTATTCTCCTCTTGTTCGTGTGTTCGTTCAAGGTTTTCAATAGGTGCCTTTCCTTTTTAAATCTCGTAATGTTCGTATGTCCGTTTCATGCTGTGAAAGGATGCGGGTTATTTATTTATTTTCTATCTGAATGTTCTTTTCTTTGTCCTGAGAAGATACGTATTTTTTCATATTTCTGTTTCATACAGATCGTGTAATATTTTTAAAGGATCTGATTGTTTTTCACTCTTCCTTTTTTTCTTTCTTTTTTGTCTTTAAATATTTGATCATTCGTTTAGGTTGTGAGAGTGCGTGAGGTTATTTTTTCTTTTGATATTTGTGCGCGATTGGGTTGTGAGAAAATACCATGCGTTTTGCACGTGTTTATTTTATCCGTTTGTTGTAGAGTACTAGAATACTATATATATCCATCTGTTAATTGTACATATAGCCATGTTTAAGGATGAGATCGGTGAGTACATTATTTGTTATTATTTGCATTATATTTACCTTACGATTTTCGTATTTTTCCTTCTGATTCCTTCATATAATGTTTGTATGGTTGCATCTGGTACTTTAACCTTTTTCAGCCGTTTTTATTAGAAAGAAATGTATACTAAGAAATATATGAATATGTATATGTATATATATTAGAGTTACCGCACATCCTTAAAAAGTCTTAAAATATCTTCAATATTTGTAGGAAAATTTAATGCTTTTAAAAGAATAAAAAAGCGGAGATTCTTCTGTTTCTTTAGGCACATCTTAGTTCGCGTAGATGTACACCTCTTGTGTCCGGCGGACGCCGTGACGATTCACTCAATTGATCATAAATCATTTGTCAACAAATGGCCTTTGCTTATCGTCACACACACGCACGCACGCACACACGCACACACTCACACACACGCACACACACACGCACGCACACGCACACACTCGCACGCACGCACGCACGCACGCACACATCTATATATTATTATATATATATGTATATATATATAACATATGTATACATATAA